GAGAGAGAGAGAGGGGGGGGGGGTGGAGAATCGATGTCTTAAGAGAGAGAAAAGGAAAGAAAGGGAGGGAGATGGAAAGGACTGAGCGCAAGAGAGAAAGGGAGGGGGAGGCGACAGGGAGAGGAAGAGGAGAGGAAGAGATAGATAGAAAGGGAAAGGAAGGGGGGAGGGGGTAGGGGAAAAGGAATAAAGAAGGAAATAGGGAAATAGAGGAAGAGAGAGAGAGAGAGAGAGAGAGATAAACAGACAGACAGTCTGACATACAAACAGACAGACAGAGAAAAAAAGAAAAAGGAAAGAAAAGTGAGGAGACGAGAGGGGGGAGAGGGGAGAGAAAGAATGAAAGAGCTAGTTGCAATATAAGCCGAATGAGAAGTTCAAGGAGACCAGCTTTGGTAACAACGGTAACGAGTGACATAACAGCCTTCAGAAAGAGATACGAAAGTAACCAATTATTAGAAGAATGGAGAGGTACACACACTTACAAACGGACAGACAGACATAAACAAACATATAAACAGACGCAGACGCATAAACAAACATACTCACAGATGCATACACATAAACAAACAGACAGACACTAACACAGAGACAGATACGCAGACACACACATACACACTCTTTCTCTTTCTCTCTTTTGGTCGACTCAAGCCGGGCTTTCCTTCTGAGCACAGCCCGGGCGAGGCTCAGCTTCGCATATCGGACTTATCCTTATCCTTATCTCTCTCTCTCTCTCTCTCTCTCTCTCTCTCTCTCTCTCTCTCTCTCTCTCTCTCTCTCTCTCTCTCTCGCTCTCGCTCTCTCTTTCTCTCGCTCTCGCTCTCTCTTTCTCTCTCTCTCTCTCTCTCTCTCTCTCTCTCTCTCTCTCTCTCTCTCTCTCTCTCTCTCTCTCTCTCTCTCTCTCTCCACACACACACACACACACACACACACACACACACACACACACACACACACACACACACACACACACACACACACACACACACACACACACACATATATCTTGCTCTAAATTGATTGCATCACAAAATGATAAGAGTAATAACATATGACGCAATATACTCCTCTCAGTGTGGTAGTCTGGGAAGAGATTAGAAGAAATGAAAATAAAAACAGGAAAATGAGAAGAACTCGGGGTAGATGATGATGATGATGATGGTGATGGTGATGGTGATGGTGATGGTGATGATGATGATGATGATGATGATGATGATGATGATGATGATGATGATGATGATGATGATGATGATGATGATGGTGATGGTGATGGTGATGATGGTGATGGTGATGGTGATGATGATGATGATGATGATGATGATGATGAAAATAATGAAAAATAATGAAATAGACAACTTGGAAAGATAAAAGAGGTAAAAAACAAAACTAAAAAAATAATAGTAATAATCACAAAACAAAAAATAAAAAATATTCTCTAATATAGTCACATATAAATAAACAAATACAAATATAAATAAACAAATAAATAAATAAAAGAACATTTGGAGCATTTGGACCAGCGCCTCCCACCCCCACCCCCCCTTCCCCCACTTCCACCCCACCCCCCTTCCATCACCACCAATTACCTCGCCGAAGGAAACTTGGCTTAGAAAACCATTATTTCTCCGGCGGTGGACCTGGTTGGGGGTGAATGCTCGCTGTCAAGGATGGGGGGAGAGGGGGGAGGGGGAGGGCAAATAGGGGGTGATGGGAAGGAGGGAAGGGGGGAGGGGGAGGGGAAAAGGAGGGGGTGATGGGAAGGGGGGAGGGGGAGGGGAAAAGGAGGGAGTGATGGGAAGGAAGGGAGGGAGAGGGGAAAAGGAGGGGGTGATCTCTCTCCCTCTCTCCCATCTCTCCCATCTCTCCCCTCTCTCCCTCTTTCCCCTCTCTCTTTCCCCTCTCTCCCCTTTTCCCCTTCTCCCTCTCTCTCCTTTAACAGCTGTGACGCCCACAAATAGCTTTCCATTAATTCCCAGATTACGAGAACCAAGGAAATATTTAGCAACAGCGACAAGAAACCATTTCAGTCCCATTAAAAGCCATCCATTTAGATCCGATTAAAACCCACTCGACCGGCAGGCACCAGGAGGGTGGCAACTATCCATCTATCCACCTATCCATCTTCACCCATTTGTCTATCTACCCATCCACCTATCCGTGATATCCATCTATCCACCTAGTCATGATATCCATCTATCCACCTAGTCATGATATCCATCTATCCACCTAGTCATGATATCCGCCCTCACCCATCCACCTATCCAAGATATCCATCTACTTATCTATCCGCCTATCCATCCTCCCTTATTCAACCCTTACCTATCCACGTATCCACCCTCAGCCATCTAACTATCCATAATATCCATCAATTCATCTATCCGCCCATCTATCCTCTCTTATTCAACCCTTACTCATCCACCTATCCACCCTCGGCCATCCACCTATCCAAGATACCCATCCACACGAGAAACAAACAGGTCTCTTCACGTCATCCCGCATC